AGAAGTCCTCATGGGCTGTTTTTCTTTTTCCCTTCAATTATTTTATCTAGCTCAGGGAATGTCCATTGTGTGCTTGTAAGTTGTTCTTTTTAAATAGGCTTTACTTTTTAGAACAGTTTTAGGTTCACAGTAAAATTGAGCAGAAGGTACAGAGATTTCCCATATACTCCTGACATCACACATGCACAGCCTCCCCCATTGTCACATTATCAACATCCCCCACCAGATTGTACGTTTGTCACCATTGATAAACCTACACTGATGCATCATCGTTGCCCAAAGTCCACAGTTTACATTAGGGTTCACTCTTGGTGTTGTATATTCTATGGGTTTGGACTAATAGGTATCTGTCATTATGGTGTCCTACAGAGTAATTTCACTGCCCTAAAAATCCTCTGTGCTCCACATAGTCATCCCTTCCTCCTCCCTACCCCCTGGCAACCTACCAATTCTTTTTACGACCTTCATAGTTTTTCCTTTTCTAGAATGTCATATAGTTGGACTCATACAGTGTATAGCCTTTTAAGATTGTCTTCTTTCACTTAGTAATATGCATTAAAGTTTCCTCTATGTCTTTTCATGGCTTGAGAATTCATTTCTTTTTAGCACTGAGTAACATCCCATTGTCTGAATGTACCACAGTTTATTTATCCACTCATTTACTGACGGACATCTAAGATTGCTTCCAAATTTTGACAATTATTAATAAAGCTGCTAGAAACATCCATGTGCAGGTTTTTTTTTGTGGACTCAGCTTTTCAACTCCTTTGGGTAAATACCAAGAAGCATGACGGCGGGATGGTACATTAAGAGTATGTTTAGTTTTGTAAGAAACTGCCAAAACTGTCTTCCAAAGTGTCTGTACCATTTTGCTTTCCCATCAGTAATGTATGAGGGGTTCTGTTGCACCACATCCTCACCAGCATTAGGTGTTCTGTATTTTGGTCATTCTAAAGGTGTGCAGTGGCATCTTATTGCTGTTTTAATTTGCATTTCCCTGATGACATGATGTGGAACATCTTTTCATATACTTATTTGCCATCTGTATATCTTCTTTGGTGAGGTGTCTGTTTAGGATTTTGGCCCATTTTTTTCAATCAGGGTTCTTATTTTTGAGTTTTAAGAGTTCTTTGTGTATTTTGGATAACAGCCCTTTATCATTTAAATATTTTCTCCCAGTCTGTGGCTTGTCTTTCCATTCTCGTGACAGTGTCTCTTAAGAGCAGAAATTTTTTTTTCCGTCAAATCAGAATTTATATTTTTTTAAAGTATATGGTAACAAGAAAATAACACAAAAACAAACACCTTACTCCTTTTTTTTGTTTTGTTTTGTTTTACTTTATTTTTACTGAAGTATAGTTTATTTACAATGTTGTGCCAATCTCTGGAAATTTTTTTATTTTAATGAGGTCCAGATTCTCAATTCTTTTCTTCATGGACCATGCCTTTGGTGTTGCATCTAAAAAGTTGTCACCAAACCCAAGGTCATCTAGATTTTCTCCTATATTATCTTCAAGGAGTTTTATAGTTTTGTGTTTTACTTTTAGGTCTGTGATCCATTTTGAGTTAATTTTTGTGAGGGACATAAGATGTGTGTTTAGATTTTTTTTTTGCATGTGGATGTCCAGTTGTTCTAACACCATTTGTTGAAAAGACTATCTTTGCTCCACTGTATTGCCTTTGCCCCTTTGTCAAAGATCAGTTGGTCTATTTCTGTACTCTCTATTCTATTCCACTGATCTATCTGTCTATCCTTTCACCAATACCACACTGTCTTGATTAATGTAACTTTATAGGAAGTCTTGAAGTCAGGTAATATATCCTCCAACTTTGCTCCTTTCAGTCAATATTGTGTTAGCTATTCTGAGTCTTTTGTCTCTTCATATAAACTTAGATTCACTTTGTTGTCATCCACCAAATAAGTTGCTGGGAGTTTTATTGGGATTGCCTTGAATCTATAGATCAAGTTGGGAAGAACTAACATACTGACAATATTGAATTTTCCTATCCATGAACATGGAATATCTCTCCATTTATTTAGGTTTTTATTGATTTATTTCATCAGAGTTTTATAGTTTTTCCTCGTGTAGGTCTTGTACATAATTTTTTTTTTTTTACTTATACCCAAGTACTTCATTTTTTGGGTGCTAATGTAAATGGTATTGTGCTTCTAATTTCAGTTTCCTCTTGGTCATTGCTGGTATTTAGCAAAGTGGTTGACTTTTGTATATTAGCTTTGTATCTTGTAACCCTGCTGTAATCACTTATTAGTATGAGGAGGTTTTATTTTTGGTCTATTCTTTCAGATTTTCTACATAGATAACATGTCTTCTGCAAACAAAGACAGTTTCTTCCATCCCAATCTGGATACCATTTATTTCCTTTTCTTTTCTAACTGCATTAGCTAGGACTTCCAACATGACGTTGAAAAGCAGTGGGAAGAGGGAACATCCTTGCCTTGTTCCTTCATTTGGCTTTTCTGATTATTACACACATCTTGTTTTAGCAACAGATTTACCTTCCGATACTTAAATTGTTGGTTGGTATTGATGTATGATAAGTGCCAGCGAATGGTACTGATGATGTGGGCTGTAGGGAGAGATGAACTTTTGCAGGAGTTAAGGGTTAAGGTAAAAGTCAGCCCAGTCTCTATCTGGACATTTTCTTTTTCTGGACAGGAAAAAAAAGGAGTGGAACTAGTACCTATTCTTTTTTCTTTTCTTTCTTTTTAAATTAATTTTATTGAAGTATAGTTGATTTACAGTGTTGTGATCATTTCTGCTGTACAGCAAAGTGGTTCAGTTATACATACATATATACGTTCTTTTCCATTATGGTTTATCACAGGATACTGAATATAGTTCCCTGTGTCATACAGTAGGACCTTGTTGTTTATCCATTCTATATATGACAGTTTGCAACTGACTAGCATCTATTCTATGCCTATTATGTGCCAGGTGCTCTGCAAGTTACCTTAATATGTTATTTCATGTAATATTTAAAAGAAATCAGTAAAATAATTATTATACCCATTTTACAAAAAAGGAAGCCAAGTCTTAGATAAGTAAAAACAATAAAGCTGTATAGCTAGTAAGCTGGTAGAACTACAATTTAGAAACCTATCCTTTCCACCAGGCTGTGTTTCTTGCCTGATTATGATTATTATAATTCCTGGAATTTACATTATTTTACATGTTCTTCTACAACTGCTGGCCCAGTGAGCCACTCAAACTGCTTTTGTTTAGTCCCTTCTTGGTTAGAGGTGGGACTAGCTGTCCAGGTTCACCTCACCTTCTTAAGGGTGTCAGAAGGGTCCCGCATCTTGGATGGGGGTGGTCTCCAGGATGACAGGATGCTGGGCGGACTGTGAGGGCTCAGAGAAGCTCCACTCCAGCCTGAGTGATTAACAGACGATCGGCAGATGGTCCTCTGCCAGCAGCGAGGGCAGCAACCTGCCTGGACCCTGTGCCCGTTTGCTGGGTGGTGAGGCCAGCTGTGGGAGCCCCGGCTGCCTCCCTTTTTTCTGTTTCCTGTGGTCCTTCCTGTCCGCTTCCTTTATCCAGCCTGTGACTTTTTCCTGAAAAATCTCATCTCTTGAAGCAGGAGAGTTTGTCGCGAGATATACAATGGAATCATTGCTCTGATGAGACCAGCACCTTTTCCTCCCATAATAGTTGGGTGTTCAACTATTCAAATGTCTTTAGTGGGAAGCCAGTGACTATTTTGGGGGGCGAGGGAGGGTCAGGTCTTCGTGGTGTGAGAAGGAATTTGGTAAACTTAGAGGTGGGTAGGTGGGTGAGAAACACACATTTCCTACTCACCAGACATTGAGTGAAGCACTTTACAAATATTTCTTCAAAAAAAACAACCTTACAGAATCATTAATTACAGAAAGTCGGACAATCTTTATTTCCTTCAAAGTATTTCTCACAGACACGTTTCATCCCTCGATTAAATCAGTGTGGTTCGTCCCTCCCTTTCCTCATATCCCTTGTGCCCCCTCATTCTATACTTCCTCAGCAGGAGGCATATTCAGAATAAAACCTCATTTGCTTCTATTCATTTAGTTTGAAAGACACTGTAGTTTGGAGATGAACATGGCTGAAGTTAAATTTTGAACCATCTCTGATACGAAGGTTTCTAAAGAAACTGCAACAGCCTTAGTTTCTCTCCAGGAAACAGTGGGGTACATACAAACCCCTTAAATCGAGCGAAGGAACGTGTGATTCGATCATATGCCCATGTTTGGAAGCTCCTGGACTCCTAAGGTGCCTTTTTGTCTTGGCAGATGCTTGTCTTGAAGACCCACCGAGTCTCAGAAACGCCATGTTCAAGGTCCTCAGGTATGAGGTGGGCACCATGATAAACTGTGACTGCAAGAAAGGCTTCCGCAGAAGGTCGCCCTTCATGCGCTGCACAGGAAACTCCAGCCACTCTGCCTGGGAAAACAGATGCCACTGCGACAGCACCTGTAAGTCTTTCCATTTGTAACCCCGGAGGGAAGGAGAAAAACTGTAGCAAAGAGGGAGACAGGGCTTCAACTATTATTCGCACGGCCCTACAGACAAAAACTGGCGGCCGCTCCATCTACATGAAAACTAATGTTGGTGGTTCCCAGAATAGTCATTCACTGAACAGATACTGAATGAGTGTCTCCTAGTTCCAAGGCCTGTTCCAGATACTTGCGGATATGACAGACCCAGCCCTCAAGGAACCTATACTTCGGGGGGAGGGAGGGAGGACAGACATTACACTAATAATTACTAAACAACTAAAAATAATTCTAGTTCACAATGATGTGAATGTAGCTCATGCCACTGAACTGTACACTTAAAAATGGTTACTATGGTAAATTTTATGTTATGCATATTTTATCACAACTTTTAAATTGAAGTATAGTTGATTTACAATGTTGTGTTAGTTTCAGGTGTGCAGCACAGTGATTCAGTTTTGTGTATACACACACACTTTTTCAGATGCTTTTCCGTTATAGGTTATTACAAGACATTGAATATAGTTCCCTGTGCTTTACAGTAAATCCTTGTTATTCATCTATTTTATATATAGTAGTGTGTATCTGTTAATCCCATACTCCTAATATATCCCTCCCCCACTTTTTCCCTTTGGTAACCATAAGTTTGTTTTCTATGTCTGTGAGTCTGTTTCTGTCTTGTAAATAAGCTTATTAGCACTATTGATTAGATTCCACACATAAAAGATATCATATGATATTTGTCTTTCTCTGACTGACTTATTTCACTTAGTATGATAATCTGTAGATCCATCCATGTTGCTGCAAATGGCATTATTTCATTCTTTTTTATGACTGTGTAGTATTCCACTACACACACACACACACACACACACACACACACACACACACGTATACTACATCTTCTTTATCCATTCATCTGTCAGTGACATGTTGCTTCCATGTCTTGGCTATTGTAAATAGTGCTGCTATGAACATTGGGGTGTATGTATCTTTTTGAATTAGAGTTTTCATCTTTTCTGGATATATACCCAGGAGTGGGATTGCTGCATCATATGGTAGCTCTATTTTTAGTTTTTTAAGGACATCCATACTGTTCTCCATAGTGGCTGCACCACTGCCATTGCTTTAGGAGGGCCTCTCTCTAACTTTTAAATGAACTGCCTTGGGAAACAGAGGAGCGGGCAGGCTGTTGAATTAATAGCTCCTCTCGCTGCCACATTCACCCCCACGTACAGTGTTGATGGGGTTGATGGCCAGAATGGAGTCCCTTTTGGAGAGACACACAGACACAAACAATTCCACCAGAAAAATCTCAGCTCCTTCAGAAACACGTTGTAGGCCATTGACATCATGTACAGGAAACCTGACTGACAGGCCCGTGCTGCACTGGCCATGAACAGACCCCCTGAGAGCCCCCAGGGCAGGGGGTGTGGGGATCATCTTTATAACCCCAGTATCCCCCGATATTGCCTGGCACATCACAGACCCTAGAAAGACTCTCTTTTTGAGCAAATGAATACATGAAGAGCATGTTCTCTTTTAAACTTTTGTGAGGCCATCTTCTTCATTCCATCCATACTCTCTAGCCTCCCCTAAGACCCCAGGAAAACAAGTTACTCCTGGACTCAAAGAACAGAATGAAGAAAAAACCACAGAAATGCAGAGCCAAATGCAGCCCACAGACCAAGCTAACCTTCCAGGTAAGAGGGGACCCATTCTCTTGCAGGTACAGGATGTGTGCCCCAGAGGAGGAGGATCTGTCCTGCTGTCCTCTTTCCTAAGGATGTCATGTGGACAAGAACTATTGTGTAGTGTTTACAGGCTGTTTGCTCAGCATTTCAAGCCACACTTAAACAGCAGCCAACCTGGACTCTGGGTTGCCTCCAGGTTTGGGAACTGGCCAAATAGAACTCAGTTCAACTCAATTCAACTCACTTCATTTCAATTCAATTCAAAAAGCATGTTTGGGGACAAACTGTGCCACAGGCACTGCGGCCAGACAACACAAACCTGAGTAGACGGTCATCCCTGCCCTCAAAGAGATGCCGTGTTTTCCCCTTAAGTACAAGGCAGTGAACTCCAAGCAAGGCAATTTACTTCCAGACATTTCTTACAGGACAGGGTTGTGAAGTGGGCGGTGCCACACTGGTGCCTCTGGAAGCTGCGGACAAACACCTCCTAGCTAATAGGCTGTGGCCCAGCGAGTTGCTGCCCCAACTTCCCAAAATTAATAATGTTGGGGCCTCCCTGGTGGCGCAGTGGTTGAGAGTCCGCCTGCCGATGAGGGGGACACGGGTTCGTGCCCCGGTCCCGGAGGATCCCACGTGCCGCGAAGCAGCTGGGCCCGTGAGCCATGGCCGCTGGGTCTGCGTGTCCGGAGCCTGTGCTCCGGCAACGGGAGAGGCCACAGCAGTGAGAGGCCCGCGTACCACAAAAAAAAAAAAAAAAAAAAAATGTTGAAGTCAAGCCATGACGTCAGGAAGAAAGAGAGTCCATTAGGAAAACCTGAGCCTTGTGGGGGACCAGCTGACCTTACAAGACCCCATGGTCCTACGCTAATCTTATAACCTTACGGAGAATTTTACAACATTGTATATAATCTCATTTGAACCTCAGAAGCCAGTGAGTCAGGGAGCAGGAAATATTACTTCAATTCACTGAATAAACTGAGACACGGAGACATTTAAAGACTTGGCTAAACTCACATAATAGGACTGAAAGAAGGCTTGGGTCCCCTGAATTAGAACAGGGATCTTGCTACTGATTATTTAAACTAGTCTGAATTTATTTTCAGCTTCAACACTAAAACCCAATGACTAATCCAAGGACTACTCTGCAACATGCTGTTTCCAGCCCTTTTCACTCTGACTTTGTGCTGGAACAAGGTTTCCGAACACATTTAATTATTTGTTTCTCTCTGTTTCTCCCGCATCACCTTCCACAATTACTGAAAGTTTTCTCAAGAGGTCAAAGTTTACTGTCCTTACTCAAGAGATAACCAGCTGGCTCTGGCTAAGGGATACTTCAGAGATTGTCTTAATGTGGAGTTTTTCACTTGAAAGAAGCAAACCCAATTCAAAGGGGTTCAGACGGTTATGAATTTTACTGACTGTAAAGGCAATTTGATTCTGAGACTGAAACACACGTTCAGTCATGATTTGCAAGGCGCTGCACTGAGCAGACCACCCGGGACGGGACCACTCGGCCTCCTGCTGCAGAGGGTTACAGAGGGCACGGGGAAAGGTTATATGGGTCCTTGGGGTTGTGGAAGGTCAGAGCATATATGCAGTTTCACACTTCTGGGCTTAGAGGGACCAGTGGTCCATATGACCAGATTTGGCGGGGGCAGGGGTTGGATTCTGGGATTAAATCAGAGCAGGACATGATCTCTGAGGTTAAAGGTCAGCCAGGCTTGGATTTTAGTTGGGTGAGTGGAAAGTTACTGGGCATTGGAGTTTTCAGGGCCCTTAAAAGGGCCCACCTGGGTCAACCTTCAGGCATGGCTTGATCAGGGATCAGGCTCCATTTTTCCAAGATCATCTCAGTGTTCCCCTCCTCCTGGCTTTGCATTTGTCCCCAGTCCTTCCGCCGTGGCCCCAAGATGACCACCAGCTGCAACTCACTTAGCAGTGGGGATCCAGACGGTCTCCACACTTCATTGGCCCAGACTGGCTTGAGCCTGCCTTTAGCCCTAAACTGAGACCACCGTTCGCACACCTGTCTACTTATCAAATCTCTCACCAACAGCAGAAGTAATTGCTCATCTCTCTGCATTCTGAGAGCAAGCGTCTGTCTCTTGGCTGTCATCCTCACCACGTTCTGCCTGTATGTGCTTCCTTACCAGATCCACTGTCTGCTCCTTGCGGGGAGACTGGGTCTTTATGCCTTTTCACAACGTGTCTAGCAAAGGTCCTAACACATAGATGTTATCAATACTTACTGGGAGGAAGGAAGGGAGGGAGGGAGGGAGGGAGGAAGGGGACAAAGAAAAGAGTAAGAACCATGGTCCAGTCTCTAGGAAGAGGCAACCTGGACTCACAATGTCTCCCCAGCTTTGCCTTTGGAATTTCCTTTCCCTCTTCCAGGTCACTGCAAGGAGCCTCCACCATGGGAACATGAACGTGAACCTTTGAAGAGAATTTACCATTTCATGGCGGGGCAGACAGTTTACTACCAGTGCACTCTGGGATTCAGGGCCCTACGGGGAGGCCCTAGCAAGAGCACCTGCAAGATGATCTATGGGAACATGAGGTGGACACAGCCCAAGCTTGAGTGCATAAGTGAAAGGGAGAACAGTCAGTTTCCAGGTATGGAGATGCCCCCCCGCCAGGTCCACCACCTTGCTGCTTCTCTTGGGTGGACCAGCCTGGAATCCCTGACCCACCCGCTACGTGACCTTGGGCAAGTCTCTTCCTCTCTTGGGGGCCTCTGTTTTTTCTCATTCTAGAAAATAGACTAGATAAACTCCAAGGTCTTCATCACCTGAGGTCCCCTGTACCCTGATGGGGATAAATAGCAGGAGATGGAAGAGGAAGAAAGGTCTTCCGAAGCCCCCTGGGTGCTACCTCACTGGCGATCCTGCTGCCCCCTTTTCTAGCTGATCCTGAAATTTTCCTTCTGACTCTAAGCTACCAAAACTTCCTCATTCAAAAAGGAAAGTCCACATGCCATGCACACATCTCCAACGTGCTGATACATAATGTAAATCCATGATTTGTGCCATGCCACACCATCAGCATGCCCCCTCCTCTTGTGTGAGTCCCACCTGAGCTTTGCCAAAGTGCCGACATGCAGGGAAGGGACTTCTCAAGCACAAACACACACGCATGCAGACAAGCCGCCTATGTTGAGGTCTCTCCTGCTATTTTCATTCTGAAGTCGTCTCACCAGTTCTACAATCAAAAGTCACTTCCATTTGACCCCAAGTGTTAGTGGTTTCTTTGCTCAGCCCCGCTCCCCAGACCCCACGTCTCCCTCTTGGATCTTCTAGGGAGGCTGCTGTGTTTCTTTCCCATAGCCTGACCCCCAGGAGCCACACGGCACGCCAGGCGTGTCCACGAGCAACGGGGAACCTGTCACAGAGAAAAGCTCTCCTTTTGTGCATTTCTACTTCGTTTAATGGTTTGATGGTATTTGTATTATAATGACCCATTTCCAAGCCACAGAAGGAAACCAGGGCTGAGTAGGCAGCGTGGGGCGAAAGCTGCTCAGAGTTCTGTAGACTCCCTCCTGCTCTGCTGTGGCTACCGAGCCACTGCGCTGTGACCCTAATGGGGAACCGAGAACTGAGACTCACACCTCAGCTAGTGCATCTGGGGTCAGCTGAGGAGGCCAGGGAGGGAGTGGACGTGAGACCTCCACTCCCCACCTTCTGTTCCACAAGCATCCTTACTCTCTCCTCCAGGTGATGAAGAGCCTCAGGAGAGCACGGATGCCCCCCTTGGCAGTGAAATGTCTTTTCCCTTAACAACGAGGATGGCAGGTACCACAGGTACGGCTGGAGTTTCTTGGAAGATAAAAGGTTGGCTATTAAACCATGATGCAGGATAAGGGGAGGAGTTGGCCTGGAGCTGCCCGTAGGTGCTAGAGATGATCACACACCTGCGTGCAACCTCCCAGTCCTCAAACACCGCCAGTGTCACAGGAGAAACAAGATGAGGGCGGCGTCTCGAGGCAGAAGAACGAAATGTTCAAACGTTGGCCCCAGGCTCCTCTGGTCTCTCCTAGCTCTCTAGTGGCTTCCGAGCCCCCAGCCCCGAGAAGCCTGGACTCTCCCAGCCCTGTGCAGCCCCACGACCAGCAGTGATTAGCACCCTTCTCTCTCTTTTGCACAGATTTCCAAACACCCACAGAAGTGGCTGCGACCATCGATACGTTCATATTTACAACCGAGTATCAGATCGCAGGTGGGTAGTGACAAACGTGCACCAGACAGAAACCAGGGGACGTTTGCTTGGTGGGTTGGTGAGTTGCTTGGTTAGTTTCTATAAACTAGCTCTTTACACTATATAATGCTTATAAAAGTCAAAGACGAATCCAGATAGTAACATGACTCGGAATCACAGGCACCAGTTGTAGTGAGTTAGGAGTGAGGTCTCAAACCAGCCTCAACCAGTGCCTCCCGACCAGATCCTAGAGGATGAAATACCAGCACCTGCGTGTGAGGGGAGGCCAGGGTGCGGGGATGTGGTGGAACCAGCGGAAGAGAGAAGCATGCCATCAACACTCCAGGTGTTTCCTGGTGGGAGGCAAAAACGGGCTTTGAGAAAAAAATAAAACAAAGACCAAAACCGAGCTCTTAGAAACGGAGCAGAATGCTGGTGACCAGGGGCTGGGGGTGGGGTAAATGGGGAGGCGGGTGTCAGAGGGCACAGACTTCCAGTGAGAAGAGGACCAAGTATGGGGATCGAACGTAGAGAGTGGTGATCACAGCTAACAATGCTGTATTGTAGACTTGAAAGTTGCTAAGAGTAAATCTGAAATGTTCTTGGCCCAAAAAAGAAATGGTAATTACAAAACATTTTGCAATGTATAAGTGTATCAAAGCAACACATTGCACACCTTAAACTTAGACAATGTTACATGTCAATTGTATCTCATAAGGGGATGGGGGTGAGTGGAGAAAAACAGGCTTTGAGGCACGTCTAAGACACATAGACAGATGGACGTATGGATAACTTGACAGCTTCAGGACCACAGGAAAGAAGCATCCGGGAAACAACACTTTCAGGAGATGTTAAGTGTTCATCATGTATCTTTATATTTCAACATTTCTTTTACCCATCGCGGGCCTCACTCACGGCCTCTTTAACTGAGGCCGGGGACTCTGAACCTTTCTGAAGAGGTTGCCTGTCAGCTGCTCCCCACAGAAAGAGTGGAGCCCCCTGAGGAAAGGTTTGTGCCCTTCCAGTCCACACCCCCAGGCCCTGGTCCTGGAGCCTCCAGGGAAACTCTGCCGGGAGGGAGCTGCGTTCTGAAAAGGGGCGGCACAAACCGCAGCGCTCGCCTCTCAGCGAGCCCTTTGCTGGGGGTGGGGACGGATAAAAGGGGACGGGCTCTCTCAGCCCCAGGGCCCCCTTCCCTGACCTGCCTCTCCGTCCACAGTGGCCGGCTGCATCCTGCTGCTCATCAGCATCTTCCTCCTGACCGGCCTCACCTGGCAGCAGAAATGGTGAGTCCCGGGTGGGCAAGGAAGCCCCGCCCACGCTGTGGGGAGGGGGAGCGCCGCACAGGAAAGCGCCGGGTCAGGGACCCCTTCCCCCCCCAGCCCACCCCCTTCCTCCCTGACCACCAGGGGTTTGGGGAGCAGCAGGGGGAGAACTAGCCAGTGCACGCCTTCCCAGAGTCGACCCACAGAATTTCGCCTCAGGGAAATGGGAAAGCCAAGGAACATCCACTGAGCGCCTACTGTATGCCAGGGTCCATGCTTATCTTTCGAACATTATGGCAACCTGAAACCTTTGCTACAAGCTCTGGCAGGTTAAGCAACATGGACAAGGTTGCACAGCAGAGGCCCAAACTGCAACCTCTGTCTAGTGCCCAGGACCTCTTTGCCCCTGTCACCTGGCAGCGGAGAACCAAGGGCAGCGTCAGCCCTGGTCCTCTCCTGTGCTCCCCACCCCCCAATGCAGACGCTCACACCAGAGCCCCCTAGGCCGGGAACCTGACCCACGCGACCCCACGTGTGGCCTTATTTGCATTAACTCTCCCGGCTGCAGAGAACAACCCGGTGAGATTTTAAAAATACCAATGCTTGGGTGGGCCCCAGACATCAGTACTTTTTTTTTTTTAATTGAGATAAAATTCTTCATTTTAGCCATTTTAAAGTGTGTGATTCAGTGGTTTTCAGCACTGTTGTGTATACACCACCAGTATCTAATTCCGGAACATTCCATCACCCCAAAAAGAAACCTCACATTTCCCATTTCTCCATCCCCCCCACCCCCATTCCCTGGCCACCACTGATCTACGTTCCAGCTCTATGGATTTGCCCGTTCTGGACACTTCATGTAAATGGGACCATGTACGTACTGTGTGCCCTGTTGTTACTGGGACGTTAGTACTTTTTAAAAGCTCCTCAGTCGCATCTAATACATACACATCCAGTTTAGATAAGCCCGAGCTGGACCCGTGGTTCTGAAACATGAGTGCATCAGAGTCTCCCAGGGGGGCTTGTTGTTTTACACTTGATCTTAGCCAAAAGTGTTTTTTTAAATTGAAGTTCAGTTGATTTACAGTGTTTCAGGTTTACAGCACAGTGATTCATATAGATATAAATACACATATATATACTTTCTCAGATTCTTTTCCATTCTAGGTTATCACAAGATACTGAATATAATTCTCTGTGCTATATAGTAGGTTTTCATTGTTTATCTATTCTATATATAGTATCTGTTAATCCCAAATTCCTAATTCCCTGTGGGCTTCTTAAAGCAGAGCCTGCCAAGCCTACCCCCAAAGTCCCTGATTCAGCAGATCTGGGGTAGGGCCTGAAAATTTACGTCTAACAAATGCCCAGGTGATGCCAATGCTGCTGGTCCAGGGACCGAACTTTGAGACCCACTGCACTAACAGTGTTAAGAATCGAGAGTGAAATCATTTCTCTCTCTCTCTCTCTCTCTCTCTCTCACACACACACACACACACAGAGTCAGTCTCTCCCTCCCTTTAGACAGAGGACTATGGAGACCTAGCTTGTCACTCTCCCCACCTCCCAGGGCATCCCCTACCCCCTCCGCACCGAGTGCACTCTGCCAACCCTGATATAAACCCCCCAGAAGACCCTGAGAAGACAGAGCGTCACCCCCCCACCCCCCGCCAAGAACCAAAGCCCTCCGACCCCCCAGCCTGCCTAGCCAGAGAGAAATCATCAGATTCCTTCCATTCTTATCTTGATCGTCAGGCCCACGATAAAACTGGTTTTCCTTCTGTCAATTAAAAAGCCCAAATGATTGCAACGCAAAGAAGAAGCCCTCTAGGGTTGCCGTGTTAGGAATTATTCGCGTACCTGGCAACCTACCAATCCCTCTACGTGTTAGCCAATTCCTGAGGCGTTTTTATAGGATTCTGTGAGATGATGCAGGTAAATTGCCCAAGACGCTATTTTTACTGCACACACAGATCCTCTCCTTCCCCCACTGACAGGACCTAATACCTATCATGGATCTTTGTATTTGGTAGCTTAAAGACCCAAACCTTCGGACACAAGGGGATGAAGCTATTTGGGAGTGGGAAAGGTTTGGACTTGATGTTGTGAAACCAAGAACTGCCTGAAACTATATGAGTTTCCAAGATCTCCCAGAATTGCAATCTTCCAGGAGACCTAAACAGACACCTCAAACTGACCCAGAGAGCTGGTCCAAAAGCCTTCCTAGAATTGAATTTCATCTGATGGTGCCCTCTTGTGGCCAAACGGAAATACTACATTTGATTTTTTAAAATTTTTTAAAGCAATTAGTGGGAGCTGACTTACCCCAGCTCCTGAGAGCCAAAAGCTAGATGTTCTGGAAGATTGAGAACTGCTTTTAAGCATAGCCATTATTAAAAATTAAATTATATAAACTTACAGTTAAATAAATTATATTAAAAACAAAGTCAGGGACTTCCCTGGTGGCGCAGTGGCTAAGAATCCGTCTGCCAATGCAGGGGACACGGGTTTGATCCCTGGTCCGGGAAGATCCCACATGCCGCGGGGCAACTAAGCCCGTGTGCCACAACTACTGAGCCTGTGCTCTAGAGCCCACGAGCCACAGCTACTGAAGCCCGCATGCCACAACTACTGAAGCCCACGAGCCACAGCTACTGAACCCGCGAGCCTAGAGCCTGTGCTCCACAACAAGAGAAGCCACCGCAATGAGAAGCCCGCGCAGAGCAACGAAGACCCAAGGCAGCCAAAAATGAATAAATAAATAAATGTATTAAAAGAGAAAACAAAGTTAATAAGTACTCAAAATTAATCACTTTCTAATTGTTTTACTGCATTTTACTACTTTATTCTCAGGGTTATTTGCATCTGTGTATCTGTATCGAGGAAATAGTATCTATATGATGGTTTTATACTGCACGTCTCTCCCCAACTCTGTATTCAAGGTAGCTTGAAACTGGGAGTGGTGGGAGTTTTTACACCATGGAAACAGGCAGCCTTTTTCAGACAGCTGGTTGTTAAACATTTGCCAACACACCAGTTCTTGGAGCCTTGCCTCATGGGAGCTCTGAGCAAGTTGGGAAGTAACCAGATGTTCCCATGGGCTGAGAAAGGGCTGGGGAAGTCTAGGATTGTAGTGTCTGATAGGGTCGCCACTAGCCACGTGTGGATATTTAAGCTTAAACTTAAATAAATTAAATACAATTAAAAATTCGGTCTACGCGTTGCACCAGCCACATTTCAGGTGTTTGATAGCCACACGTGGCCATGTTATTGGACAACATAGATACAAAACATTCCCATCACCACAGAAAGTTCTTATGGTACAGTGCCAGCTAGAAAACTAAGAGTTTTCAGTTCATGAAAACCCCTTAGCACAGCTAGTTGGTTTTATTATTCCTTTTATGCAGCTGTTGTCTTCCATATACTTCCAAAGAAATCTGATAGGATATCTCCTATGTAGATGCTGGTCAAAGGGTACAAACTTGCAGTTAGAAGATGAATGAGTTCTGGGGAATCTAATGCACAGCAGAGGTGGTTATAGTCAACAACATTGTATTATATACTTAAAAGTTGCTAAGAGACTAGATCTTAGATGTTCTCACCACCAAGAAGAAATGACAGTTAGGTGATATGATGGAAGTGTTAGCTTTAACGCCATGGTGTTCATTACATCTCAATACATAAATGTATCAAATCAACACACGGTACACCTTAAGCTTCCACGATGTTCTACGTCAATTATATCTCAATTTTTAAATGACTACGAGAATATCTCCTATGTACCAGGCACTTGCCAGGGGCCTGAGGGTGAGTACGAATGGCCCTGCTCTCAGGAGCTTTCACATCAGTGGAGAAGGGGAAATTGAGACTTTAAATGTAATTTGCTAAAGCCTAAGATTGAGGTGTTACAGGAACGAAGAGAAAGGACACCTAATCCTGAATGGGGACACCCAGAAGGCTTTCAGAGCTGATGCCAGCGGCCAGATGAAGAACGGCGGGAGAAGCTGCAAGGCAGAGGGGCAGGAGAAGTAAGGCAGCCTGAAGGGCATGAGGACATCTGGGAGGATCTGGCAGTTCTGAACACTGGGGTGTAAAGTGCACGGGGCAGTGGTGACAGTGGTGCTGTGGGAATGGCCAGGGACCAAGTCCTGGAAGATCAGGCCAGACTGAGGAGCTCGGGCCCGATCCTGAGGACGACAACGAGCCACAGAAGCTCGATTATGCGATAAATGGTAGCACTGGCCCTCTGAACAGTCCGGCCACAATAGAGGCTGGATTTAAGGTGGGTAATGGTGGTGGCAGTTTGATTATGTTACGATGGAATAAATCCACACAGGGGACGAGAAGAGCATGAACTAGGTCAGTGGACATAAGTTAAAAAGGAGGAAAAGGACTTCCCTGGTGGCGCAGTGGTTAAGAATCCTGCCAATGCAGGGGACATGGGTTCAAGCTCTGGTCTGGGAAGACCCCACGTGCCGTGGAGCAACTAAGCCCATGCGCCACAACTACTGAGCCTGCACTCTAGAGCCCGCGAGCCACAACTACTGAAGCCCACGCGCCTAGAGCCCATGCTCCACAGCAAGAGAAGCCACTGCAATGAGAAGCCCGCGCACCACAATGAAGAGTAGCCCCCGCTCACCGCAACTAGAGAAAGCCCACGTTCACTGCAACTAGAGAAAGCCCACGCACAGCAACGAAGACCCAACACAGCCAAAAGTAAATAAATAAAAAATAAATTTTTTAAAAAAAAGGAGAAAAAAATCAAGAAATACGTGAGTCAAGTTAGCAGGATTTGGTGGCTGATCAGAAGTGAGGGTTAAGGAAGAGGGTTGACTTGGGGATGACACCAGATGTTAGAGTGTTACGGGGGACTCTTGTCACTACACACTAGGATGACGTGTAACGTGAGGGTCATGTACCCCATGGGGAGTAGCCCTGGAGCAGACCCCCTCCTGTAGCCCCTTCCCTAAGACCCACCCAGCCTCCACACCTGTAATGGTCTGGGTCTCAGGCTCTTTCTCAGCCCCACTCACCCCACAATGATTGGATCATCACGCTGTGAGGACCACAGGGCTGCCAGTCTTGATCTCTAGAGGGGTGGTCAGCATGTGGGAAGGTCACAGTATCCCGGGGTGGGATTTAAACTTGGCGGGTCAATGGGGGCTTCTGTTGAATGCTCCCCCCACATCAGTTTAGGGTGCAGACCACATTCTTCCTGGTGCGGTATTACACCCATGACTGTGACTTGTTATATCACTACAGGAAGAAGAATAGAAGGACGATCTAGAAAACCAAGGGCAGTAAGAAGCCAAGAAGAACCCGCAGATGTCATGGACCACAATCAAAATCAAGACAGCTAAACACTCATCCGAGAGGCATCTCCTGATCCCATGGGTTCTGGAAAGCTCTGAAGTCACATCACAGGACACCAGGCACCTGCACCCCCATCATGAAGACAGTTCTGTGGTATCAACGAGCGACCTTGACCTGCATGTAGGCAGCAAGTCCAAGGTCACTGGAGGAACGGGGAGGAAAAACCAGAACTCTTGGTCCCACTTTCATGTGTATGTGTTCATTAAAGCATGACCGGCATGGAACTCTCTCCATGCCATGTATAATACAAAGAAGAGTAGCTTCATGCTATGTTCATCCCAACTTCCCAGTTTAGAAATCCCAAGGAAAACCCTAGCACTAATGTAAATAGACACACACGCTCTCTACCCTATATAACTGGACCTTGTTCCTCGGTCCACGTAGGTCCTTTCCCAGCCTCTCGTTGACTAGCCCATTCTCCTGATCACATCCTTTAATGAATGCACCCTAAGAACTCTGGACTGGTAACTAGGAACGCTTTTGACCTTAGCTCAGTGCTCTAAACTAGCCCCCCTCCACCGAACCTTCAATTCTGAGTTTCTAAAGAACAGAGTCCATGGGGGAATAGTCTTTGGGTAATACCAAAAGAGGACAACCAAGCCCTTGGAGCTGTAGAGCTTCAATATTTGAAAAGATTTCACTGGAGTTAATGTTGGGAGAAGGGGTATAAGCTAGATCCTAGGTAATGGATTATCCCGGTCAAAAAGCTTCAGCTGTACATTACTGATGGGCCACTTCAAGAGTTAGTTTCTCTTGGATTGCTATAAATGATACTCTGTGTTTGGCCAGCATGAAATTGACGTTTACAGACAGACACACAATGTGCAAATGTGTACATTTTCAAAGAAGTGTCATGAAAACACTGATAAGGGAGCAATACATTCAATGTTTATGGAAGGAAAGAAAGAAGGAAGTGGGGGGGGGGGGGGATGGGAGGGAGAGCATGTAATTATGGACAAGATCACACCAGTGATCCTCAAACTGTTAGCACAACGTTGAGCAAATCAAAATCACCTAGAGGCCTTGTTAAAACATAGAAGGGGGGACTTCTCTGTGCGCAGTGGTTAAGAATCCGCCTGCCAATGTAGGAGACGTGGGTTTGATCCCTGGTCCGGGATGATCCCACATGCCGTGGAGCAACTAAGCCCGTGCGCCACAACTACCGAGCCTGCGCTCTAGTTTCCAGGGGCTGTGGGGTAAGAAGAAAACCCTGAACAAACTGAACCCAAGTGACTCTTCTCAGATCCAGTCACAGGGCAAAGCTCTGCCCCCAAAGTGAAGTGACAGACAGGTGGATGCAAAGAATCAACGGCCTCCTGGAGCAGACACTGGGGCAGGGAAACCTAAACCCATGACTGCTGAAGGCTCTGTGTGGACAAGTCTGGGAGGTATAAACTCCAGGGGCCCAGTCATAGGAGGCCCTACGTCTCCATGAGTTTTACCTCCTGGGGGTGAACCAGGTCCTCATGGTGATGGTCAGAGAAACCCCCCTCATGCTTGCAGCAGGGGGAGGGGGCAAAGGAACCAATTTTGAAACATACCAGACACTCTGCTCTCCTTAAGCAGGGCTGTCCCTGGGAGAAACTACTCCCCTAACCATCTTGGGTTTTATCTAAGCCTAACACACCAGAGGGAAGGGAAAAGCCCAATTCTGATCTGCTCTACCTTGCACAAGGGAAAAGGGAAATATCAACTCCAGACTCCTGGATTCCTATCCAGGCTTTCTATCCCACCTGAGGGGCTGGGGGAGAAGCACAGCCCCAGGCTCACTAAGGAGACTTAACCCCTAATTGTAAGACAATTGTAAGATAATTGTAAAACAATCCCTCCCCCACACCTCACCATCACATCAGTATGGCTCCTGTAATGATAACGGGGAAACACAGCCCAAAGACCCACACATCTTAGACATTATTTAAGAAAAAGTCTCTAGGGAAATGCAGAGAAAACCCAGGGAAAGCCAGGGAGATAAAAACAATGACACCATAGGCAATTTCAGCCTCCACAGGTATAGTAAACGCTAAACACAGCCTAATTCCTAGGCAGACAAACACAAAGCCTCACACCATAAGGCCTACTTACCTCAGTTCCTTTTACCTAGTACATCACATCCAGCTTTCAATAAAAAATTACAAGGCGTGCTAGGGAGTTCCCTGGTGGTCCAGTGGTTAGGACTCGGCGATTTCATTGCCAAGGGCCTGGGCTCAATCTCTGGTCAGGGAACTAAGATATCACAAGCCGTGCAGCCCAGCCAAAAAAAAAGAAAAAAAAAAAAGAAAGAAATTACAAGGCATGCTAAAAGGCATAAAATGCAGCCTGAAGAGACAGAGCCAGCATCAGAACCAAATTCAGATATGGCAGAGATGTCAGACTGGGAATTTAAAACAACTATGGAAAATAAATTATTCTGATAGAGATTGCTATGACCCCTAAATCCAGTCTGCCCTTGGTAATGAAAGCCCAGGTTTTAGTGGAACACAGCCCTCCCCCAGCTGAGGATTACATTTGCCAGCCTCCCTGGCAGCTAAATGGGCCACGTGACTAAGTTCTGACTCGTGAGACATGAGTGCAGTAAAGTGAGCAGTTTCTAAGGTACCCTTGAAGAGAACAGGTGTGCCTTGCCCTTCCTCCCCTCTTCCACTGGCTGGCAGGTGGTCTTGGTAGTGGGAGCTAGAACAAGCAGTGGAATTAAAAACTACACATTAAGTTTAACAGGGAAATAAAACCAAAGGAGCCTGGATGTCTGACATGGAGGGGCCCCGCCACAGCTGTTTACTCTTGCACTGGACATAAGTCAGAAATACCCTCCCCTAGGGATAGATTGGGAGTTTGGGATTGGCATGTACACACACTACTATATTAAAATAGATAACCAACAAGGACCTGCTGTACAGCACAGGGAACTCTGCTCAATATTCTGTAACAACCCAAATGGGAAAAGAATTTGAAAAAGAATAGATACATGTATATGTATAACTGAATCACTTTGCTGTACACCTGAAACTAACACAACACTGTTAATCAACTATACTCCAATATAAAATAAAAAGTTTTTTAAAAAAATAAAATGCAGATGTGATATTTATAAGTTATAACTACCAAAAAAAAAACAAAAAGAAAGAAATACCCTCCCCTTTAGGCCACTGTGACCTTTGCCCTCATTAGAGCAGCTGTATCAACATCCCATAACAATCATCCACCCTACATGCACCTCCCCCAATTTTGGCTTATACAGTCATAATGGTATCAAAATATTTTCAGTGGAAAATGGGACAAGAATTAGCATAGGACATTTTTTTTTTAATATTCTCCTTTTATTTTTTATTTTTTTAACATCTTTATTGGAGTATAATTGCTTTGCAATGGTGTGTTGGTTTCTGCTGTTATCACAAAGTGAGTCAGCTTTACATATACATAAGCATATGACATTTAAGCAGACTTTCAAGTAAGTACATGTTTTCTGTTCCACAAATGCTATCTAAAAAAATTCTCCCTCCAGGAGGTGAACAAGTATATCAGAGAAAATGGCATCAATTTTCTGCACTAATTTGACTACTCCCTTACTCATCTTCAGAGAATGACTGTAGTTAATTTAAGGTGTCCCTGAAGGCTTTCCAAAAATATGGGCTCACATGGGGATGTTCCTAGCAGACGGTGCTTTCCAGCTAGTCGGGAATCAGAAAGAGAGAGCTGCTGAGATTTTCAAAGCCAATCCCTTTGTTATTCCATTCCTCCTCTGAAGGAGTGCCATGCAAAACCCATGACCTCTTCTACAATAAGTTATCCTAGTTATATGATGTTATCCTACTGATACGAGGGTAGGTTAAGAGAATATTCCATCTGGAAAAAAAAAAAAAGGCTAATAACTACCTTCAAGCAGTCGCGCAAGGTGGGTGGCTAGGTGTTTTCCATTAGCAGACTCGGAAGAGAAAATCTGGCTTAAGCCCTTCAGATTACCTTGATAGAATAGACCCTAATAAGAGAAGGTATAAAGTGTTTGAAATCTTCAGTGGAGTAAATGCTTTAGAGCAAAGTGATTAATTGTGCAGGTAAATACCATTAATCAGCAAAGAAGTATAAGATGCAGCAGCAGATACCTGATGACTTCCTGTCCTTCCACGCCCTGTTCTCGACTGTCAGGGGCTGGGTCTTTGCAAATTACACTTCCCAGATGCTCTTGCCCCAGCCATGGGCTAGGTGGCCAGTGGGAAGTCCTAAGAAGAGTTTGGAAGGCAGATGAAAAAAGAGAAGCCAGAAACCTTCCTTTCTGCTTTTAGCAGCATCTACATCAGCGAGAGATGGCTGTAGGCTCCAGCAGCCTTTGGCAGCCTTGGTAAAGAGAACAGTGGTTGACTGCCACTATAGGCTCCAGAATTTTTTGCAGTTACAACAGCATTGATTTCTATAGCAGCAATAGTTTCCTCCAGAATCAGCCGTAAGTATATTCCCAGATATTCAACATCCCTTATCTTAGGGAAATGCAAATTAACACTACAATGGGATGCCACCCCACACCCATCAGGATGGCTATTATCAAAAAAACAGAAAAATGGGACTTCCCTGGTGGTGCAGTGGTTAAGAATCCACCTGCCTCTGCAAGGGACATGGGTTCATGGGTTCCCTGGTCTGGGAAGATCCCACATGCCGCGGAGCAATGAAGCCCGTGCGCCACAGCTATGGAGCCTGTGCTCTAGAGCCTGTGAGCCACAACTACTGAGCATGCACGCCACAACTACTGAAGCCCGTGTGCGCCCTAGAGCCCATGCTCAACAACAAGAGAAGCCATGGCAATGAGAGGCCCATGCACCACCACGAAGAGTAGTCCCAGCTCGACGCAACTAGAGAAAGCCCATGTGCAGTGACAAAGACCCAACACAGGCAAAAAACTTTTTAAATTAAAAAAAAAAAAAAAGA